AATTCATCAGATACCGTTATGACAGCATTCGAATCCACCAAGCCACATCGATGAAAGCAAAAATTGGTCTCACTGACCACTGGACATTTTCAATTTCTTGAGTACTGGTGGATCGGAAGTAATATTTAAGTTAAGGAACGAGGATTCCTATCCAGGTAAATATCACCGGGATGTTGGAATCCTTTACGACATGGTCAAAATCAGAATTATCGCCACTGTTTTTTTATTCCATCTGTCGAGAAGGTTTGTAAAAATAGGAACTTTTTGTTTTAAGATTTGCTCTCGACAGCAAATCTCAAGTTGTTGAGTGGCGTTGTAATGCGGGAACGAGGGAACGATTAATTTAAATCTATTATTTATAAATTATGGAGGATTGTACTCGTGGAGTTCGCGACACTCCCGAGCGGAAAAAGTCTCACGTTTGTTATAGTGGACCTATCAAGGGTGAAAATATTGATGCTGGCCCTTGGAGTAGGATCCCAGGTGTCGCGGTTGTTAGTCTTGGGCGTTGTACCGCCGGAATTGCATTTGTTGATTTGACGACGGTTTGTATCGGCATATAGTACGATCGAAGTTGTTCTTCCTGACCAGTGACTTCTTCGACCACACCGGAGTCCAGCTTTGAATTGCCAATTCGTCGTCCGTAATTGCTGGGTTCATTATGCCGATCAGCTCCAGTTTCCAAAATCTCTCCACCGGATCTNAGACGGGATTGAAAGAAAGTGAAACCAGATGGTAATTTTGTAGCGGATGCTAAATCCAAGATTTGATCCACTCCAATTAGAACCGATACTGGAGCTGCCTGTGTTTCGAGTGGAAGAATACTTCTCTGTGTGAGTATTTTTGCGGGTAACTCCACAGCAAGTATTTTATGCGTAAGTTTTGGAACAACTAACGCACGAACTGTAGTCGGCCCGTCGTTTCGAGCCACTTGAATTTCGACGATATCGGTTTACGCGAGTTGGGTTGTAGTTTCTCCAAATCCGCTAATCGTAACTGTTTGTTGCCGATAATTGGCAGGTTGAGCTGCTGTACCAGTTCTTTAGTGACATATGTGCTGTCACTACCGCAGTCGAATAGCACAACTGCCTTGTATCTTTGGTCAGGATTGTATGGGTTGATGACGTCGGCATACGTCGTCGGCAGTAGTGTTTGATTCGTAGCGAAATCGTCTTCGCTAGAATCTCATTGCCCAAAAAGTGCAGTGTTTACTCGATTTAACTGCTTACTTGATTTATTATTGTTGTTGTTGTTGACAGCGGTTGTCATTGTTGTTTGTCGTCTCGATTGTCGTGCACCTCGATTGCCACCGCTTGTATGCTGATAGCTCGATCGACTTGTTTCCTTCGCAGCTTTGTTGTAGCAGAAGGCCTGATGGTGATTTGTTTTCCCACAGTAATAGCACGGGAGTTTGCTCCAGCAGTCTTTCGATATATTGTCCTTTTTCAGACATCGTAAGCAAAGCTTGTGTTGCTTTGCTGGTTTGTACGGCTCTCCACCGTGTTGTATTGCTCACATTGAGCTGCCCAGTGCCTGCCTCCACAGAAAGGGCATGCACTTGAGCCATTGTACTTGTTGAGGACGATACCTGGTCCTCGTTGTTGTTGCTGAGTCATCGTGAATGCGGAGCTGGATTCCACGTCCTTGTCTCGACCAGTCGATTTTTGTCGCTCGACCGGATGTGACCATTTCATATTTTCCCGCACTTTCACCATCAGTTGTAGTTTCGCACACAGTTGGTCGACGTTCCAATCGTCTGCGTGCTGCTTGTCGTTGTAAATCTCCAATAACGCCCATTGAGGCAATTTGCCCTAGATGAGCGTTTCTAGAAGCAGGTCGTTGACGTTATCTCCCAATTCTCTCAGTTGACGTATTATCATCATGAGAGAATTGACTGACTCGCAGAATGAGTAACGGTCGACCGTTTTCATAGATTGAAGATTTCGGTGCAACTTTCGGCGCAGAGAATCAGATTCTCCGAACCGTTCGAACAACGCATCTTTTATTGCGTTATAGTTCGATTCTTGTATGGCGAAGCCAGCCACTGCACGGGCAGCTTCACCTTGTAAGCTACTTATTAAATAAGTTAGCTTGTGCACCTTCGCAATTGATGCATTGTCGACTGAATACTTGAATGAGGCCCAGAAAGTTGGCCATAATATTAGGTCAACGTGAAATATAGAGAGTTGTAGTTTGGGCAATTGAACCTACGGATTAGTTGATGTAAGGGATTCTGATTGGGTGTGAGTTGGAGTAATTTCCGGTTTGGAGATGGCATTGTCTTGGTTATCGGGATTTGTTACAGTGGTTGAGGGGAGGGGGGTGGGCGGTAGTCTTTCATCGATGATATCAATATTAGCAATGATCTCATCGACTATATCTTTGCCTCGTGAAGTAACAGCAAAGAAACCTGTGGGTTCGATGATTGCTTGGGTATATCGTTGCATTTCCTCGTCGGTCGTTCCTCGTACTTTCAACGCTCTGCTCCATTCGTTGGCGTAGAATTGTATATGATCGATGTACCCGTTGATCTTCCTTTTTGCCAACAGATATCCTTGTCGGGTGGACCGCAAATAACTTGTGAGGTCCGTGGTGGCTGCTTCACATGTCCAATCGATGCCAGTGGTGCTGTCGAGTATTCCCGTCAGCGTAGGAGTTAATTGGCCGATAATCGGAATATTAATGGCGGTCATGGTGAGTTTCTTACCTCACCGGCTGGGCCCCCAGATGTCGAGAAGATTAGTAAAAATAGGAACTTTTTGTTTATAAGATTTGTTGTCGACAACAAATCTTAAGTTGTTGAGTGGCGGAAACGAGGGAACGATTAATAAGATAATTTATTGAACAATAGGTAATTAGATATATGATACAATACAGGGTGAAAAGTTGATTGATGGCGACAGATTATATAATTGGGGAAAGGTGGCGACTCCTTGTTGTTGATGATGATAAGATAACGGATAGAGTATCCGATTATCTTAGGTCGTATTACATCAGTCGTTGTTGTAGTTGCGCAGTGTGGCGACTCCTTGTTGTAATTGTAGAAGTCTGGCGACTCCTCGTTGTTGTAGAAGTGTCTTCACTGATCCATATGATGATATTTATACTCTTCTTGAGTCGGAACCGCGTAGACCAGTCTTGTTGTTTTGATAAGTTCCGTTTCGAAGATCACGGTCACATAACTGGCTTCGATGCGCAGATTTGTTTTTGAAGACCACGAACTGGCCTTGATACGTATCTATTACTAGTTTGGAGTCTTGCTTGAAATGACATTCAAATGTCATCAATCATTTCACTAATCTAGATCTATTATTTATAAATTATGGAGGATTTTACTCGCGAAGTTCGCGACACCATCTTTAATTCACCATTACCGAGTTGGCCTTCTGGCTGAAGAATAGCCAATTATTGCTGTTAAAATCTTCGTTAATGATGCCCACGCCTGGTTGTTTTTAATGTTAACATTTTCTTTTGCATCGCAAATTTTGCCTCAATTGTATCTGTGTAGTACAAGAAACATACGGATTTTGACAGAATTTTCATGTATAAATGATGCTTTGACAGTACGAAACACGTTGATTACTGCTGAACGAGTGACGTTTTGCGATGAGGATCTGAACTTATCAGTCATTGTTTTGTCATGCTTGTGAATGTCTCTCTCCTTCTTCTTCTCAACGTTTTCATTGATCTCCGTGAAATCACTCTAGTTCATGCAATATTCCAGAAGGTGCACCACCAGTCCAATCAAATTTCTCCAAGAGTTTCAGTAACTTATTCACGAAGTGAGAGTGAGCGACACAGCACTGATTTACGTCATACTTCAACTGCTGGTATGTTTACGGGCTAATCAAACGAATATCAAATCAAAAATAGGATCAGGACGACTTAAATACAATACTGGATGAAACATACTGAATGAAGTATAGGAAATATTGGATGAACTCATTGGTATACTGATATACCACTCCGTTTCGAGCAAACCTTTCTCCCGCGAACGGAAATCGCACCCACGACGTACTAGTTTCACCGGTTGGGGCTCTACCTTCGAGCTATCGCGGGACCGTCCGGGGTCCGCTGAGTGGTATTAAGTTCTTCAGCGCACATAATGCGTAACTGATCTGATGCCGCTTCCGTTGTATTTTATATATGTATCCGGACGAGCTTGCATTATTTGAAGTCATATTTTAAGAATAATTGCGAAATTTACGGACCATAATAAATGGAAGAGAAAGCAACGGTAATGAGTGATTACATTATGAAGTTCTTGCTCATTTCATCGCCCTTTGCGTGGTTAGCAA